TAATATAATATAATAATTAATAATATTAATTAGTAGTCACAGAATAACATATTATATTTTTGTATAAATAAAATAATGTATTATATTAAATATTATATTATTAAAATATTATATTAAATATATTGATCTTATATTATATTAATTGTTATATAGTATAGTAGGCTAATATAATATAATGTAATATACCAATTAATATTATTAATTAGTAATTATATTACAACATATTATATTTTAATATAAAGGGAAATAATGTTTATATTATAATAATATACTAAATAAAATACTAAACCAATTGGATAAGTTAATTTAGAAGTAATTAATAGATAAAATTATATTTTAATAAGGTGTACATCGTTAATTATCCCACATGACAATCAAATGCTCAAATTGTCTCATTATCTCATTTTATCCCACTTTGCTCCACTCAAAATATCTCAAAGGGATAAAATTATTCCATTGGAACAATTTTTCCACTTGGCCCCAATTTGTCCTAACCAATAACCCCCTCCCCCCTAAGGGTGTGTTTGGCAACTGGTCAAATTGGTTTATAAGCCGATTTTTTTTTGGCTCATAAGACATTATAACCTGTTTGGCAATCAACTTACTTTGGATTATAAGGTCAAAAAAAGAAGAAAAAAAAAGCATCCCTAGCCGAGCTTATTTTTTGATAGCCTATAAGTCGTATAGTTTGACCAAGTAAATATCATGTTTGCCCTCCGTATTTAATATATCTTCAAAGTCTATTCAATGTTTAAATTTAGATTCATGTCTAATTTGATCATTTTGACAATAATCCATCCATCTGTCAAACATTATCCTACTGAAATCGGCTTATAATCCAATTTTTCACCAAACACACCTAATTAGTACCTGATTACACAAAAGAATTAAAAATTAGAAGAAAGAGAATTGCCCCCTTCCTTCCACTGTTTCTGTACAAAAAAAGAAACAAAGCTCCGGACCCTCACCCACCCACCCTCAAATAGAGTAGCTCCACAACGAGACATCAACCGCGCCCTCAGCATCCTCACAAGCATGACCACCACACCACTGAAAGGCCAGCGGACTGGGAGCCGCAATGCATCCCAACAGACAGCCCTCTCGAACTGTCCATCGTCGTCCAACAGCGACGCGCTTGATTCCTACCGCGGCCTCGCGTGCTCGGGCTCGCAGCGGTTGCCTCCCGCGATGGCAGAGCTGAACGCTCGGACTCTGGCATTCGGCGGCCTGAACATCCGTCCGCGCCGCGGCGGCGGCCGCCCGTGATATCCTTAATGGCTGCGCAGCGACGAAACGGCGCGCGGCCGCCACGCCGAGTCGGCGAAGTTCAGGGCAGGCCGTTGCGGCCACCGCAGGGCCACGCGGCGACGTCGTGGCGCCGGCCGCCATTTCGGCGGTGGGAAGGTCGCCGAGCGCATGATCCTGGACGGCTGTTGCGCTTGGGCGTTCCCGCAGCCTCGCAGACACCAGCGGTCGGCCGCGCCCCGCCTTCCGGACCCTCTGAAGAGCGGGTGCCGGGTTCCGAACATTGGTGCCGACACCGCTGCGCTTCTTCGGCGGGGCCGACGAGATCGTGGTGTAGGCGTAGGGGTTTGAATCCATTAATTCGAGGTTTTGGAGCGGGATCGAGTTTGAGTTGGTTGGGGTTGAGGATCTGGGGTTTATATATATAGAGGGCGTTGGGAGTTGAGGGGGATGTTGACGGCGAGGGGACACGGAATTGCCAGCGGGAGGATTTAAAGAACGTTTAAAAGCGAAAGGGGAGGGTCAAAGTACAGCTGTTAGTGAGCAGAGCCACTCAAGCTGAGGAAGCTACTGAGCGATCAGATAGCGGCGAGCCTAATTACTATTTGGGCTTTTTGTTTTTAGAGTATTCAGTCAACGCTGGCCCCTCTGAACTATTGAATTTAGGTATTGGTATCTTTCGGAATTACATTTTTGTCTCACTTTGCCCACCTAAAAGGTTAATTAGCTTTCTGTTTATTTCTAGAACTGTTTTCAGTCCAACGTTATCCCTTGGACTAGTAAATTTATTACTGTTTGCTCCTTGAGCTGTCAAATTCAA